AGCAGGAGGCACCCCAACATTTCTCCCTGCCCTCGCAGTATCAGAGAGCAAGGGGCACCCCGACATTTCCCTGCCCTCGAGCAGTATCAGGGAGCAGGAGGCACCCCGACAAGAATCTCTGTGGCAGAGAGAGACCTCCTTTGTCTCCACAGCCGGACGGGACAAGGCACTGAAGGGGGCAGCCCCTCCTGCCTCCCAGGGGTCTCTTTGCTGGAAGAGATGGGAGCTTAAGTGCCCATGGCCGCCTGCTTCCTGGCTGTCTCCGGGTGCTGTAAGTGACAGTGTGCTCAGATCGATGGTGCAGTCAGAGACTATCTCCTCTGTGTGTTAGAAGGGGCGAGGACGACGTCAGAAACGACACTGCACCGCTGAGCTTCCGGTAGCTCCTCGTGGCGGCGTCACATTCGTAGTTTGCCCTGCTGTGGAAACCTGCCTGCTTCCGAAACCCAGGCTGAGTCCCTGGCAGATGCCTGGCTTGGAACAATAGCGCCGGACTCGCCAGCAGTCACGGTGCCATAACTGCGGTTTATGTCTGTAATTGCCGGTCACTAACTCTGTCCAGGTCTCGCCTCCTTGCCTGTCCCCATCAGGTGTGTGGAAGCTGGTAGGAAGTTAACGTCATCCCATGTCATGCTGGTTAGAGCGGCTTTGAGCAAGCAGCACCTTTGACAAGAAGATCTGTTAGGGAAGGGTGACCTTTCTTCCTTTTCTTTTAATAATTTTTAATCAAATAAAACGATCTGAGCTCTTGTTTGCACACAGGCATGGCATTCACGTACTCTGGGTCTCCTCTCGTACCCACCTTAGGTCACCAACAGTCAGAGCTTCTCCGTGGGTAACGGTGGCTGGTGTGCGGAGGGCCCGGCTGCAGCTCTCAGCTCGCGTGCGGAGCCTGGTTTATGCAGTCACGGCCCGACGTTTCACGGCGCTGCGCTGCGTCCTCAGGTGTGAGGAACGGCCCGGAGGTCTTTTCACAGCCGTTCCTTCAGGCTAATGGAGAGCAGTTTTTGTATCACTTCATGGTAACAGCTGGAACCCACAACCCTAAAGGTTAACTCTTCCCCGTGGCTCAGCCCAGGTGCTGACCCCGGTTACACAGAACGGCACACTTGCACCTGTCACCTCTGCTCCCAGGCGCACAGCCATGCGGAGGGAGGGAGCCGCCGGTTTGCTGCTGGAGCGCTTGTCCCGTGTGACACACCTAAGGCAGTGAGAACCCCGCAGGTGTTAGGACCCCCTCTGTGGCTCCGAGCCAGACTCCTCACCGCTGACCACTGTCACCCGGCCCTTGCCCTGCACTGGCTTGAGCTAAAGCCTTTGGATGAGGAGAGGTGGTCCCGTGGGGACATTCACACGGCTCCAGAGGCCCGTGGATGCTAGGATGGACTTCGGAGGGGCTGAGTGGCTTCCCCAGGACGCACTGCTAGTCACGGGGAGGAGACAGAGATGGGGCTTCCGCCGAAATGGAGGCTTTCACTACCCGGTGGACGTCAGGGTTCAGTGGCTGGGCATCGGCGAGGACTCCGGCAGCGACGGGCACTGAGGATGTTAGAGGACATTTTAGTGATAACAAGTTTTCTATTTTAGAGCTGAAGCACTTATCAGTAAAACTTAAAATGGGGTCCTGAGTGACACGGTGGTAACCACCAGGCCACGCTAGTTTCCTGATTTCGGTGGCTGTGCTGTGGTCCTTGCTGTGGAAATGCACACCGTATTCACGTGATGGGACGCCGCGCCGGCACTTCCTGGCACGGCCGAGGGAATGCAGTGCTGCTCTCGCAGTGTTTCGTTCATTAAACCCACGGGCCAACGTCAGGGTGGCGTGGAGCCCGCGCCGGATGTCGCGTGGCTCGTGGGGCACGTGTCTGCATGGCCACAGTATTGCAGGGCCTTAAACGTGGCCTATGCCTCTCGGAGCACAGGGGCGCCCTGAGGATCTGCCACAATTGAACCTTAAACATGAGGATAACACCCGGTGTAAACATATCCAACTGGTTCTCCTTCGAATGGTTTCCCCAGGGCTGGACCCAGAACATCTGCCATCACCTGCAGGTCTCTCCCTATCGCCAGCTCGCCCACGAGGAAACCCCTGCTGTGGGACCAGCCGGACAGCGTGGAGCCGGTTCAGTCTACGCGTTCTGTTATCGGGCGACAGGGAGAGTGGGGTCAGAGCAGCGTCCTGGGCTCGCAGCCTCCGGTTGGACGGGTGCAGGATCGGGGGTCTTTGCTGAGATTACGCGTGTCCTCAGCGGTAACCAGTGCTGCAGCCTGTGCCTGTGGCAGCCCCCGAATTTCAGTTGTGCCTCCTCACTC